CTCAGTCAAACAGTTTTATGCCCATTTGTTAATATCCCTTCAAGAGAGAATTGCGCCATCATGACAGCTAGCTCATTACGCACCGGTGCTATTACTCAGTGTATGCATGCTTGAGTCATGTTTTACTATGTTCTCCTCTCATTTCATTAGTAGGACTTGGCTTTAAATGCCCAAATTATCATAAATACTTAATTACCGTGCTATTTTGGGTTCATCTCACCTCCAGTAATGCATTTTTAATACCTGGCCCCAATACCAGTTACCTGTTACATATCCCAGTAAATCCCCCCAGATCTGCCTTCTACTTGCTATAAAACTCTTTTTCCTCATATCTCGCTTATGTAACCAAAAGCTGATGATTCCAGGAAAATATCTCATAAGCGACTTTCTAAAAGTATCTTTTCTGGAGGCCTAAGTCCCAGAGGAACCCCGGGGCAGAGGATGTTCTACACTGTCATGAATGTCATCGAGAGCCTCGGTCTGTTCCCTGCAGACTCGATTTGATGTTTCTGAACTCCTGGCCAAATATTACACGGCCTCTGCCCTACATTTCCAGTCCTATTTGGGTTGCTTTTACTTCTTAACAAAATATCACAGCTTGCGTGTTTGATGTGACTTTGTTTGAATGAAGGAGAGAGGAGGACTCTTTTCCTGCCATTTGCTTGATTGTGTGAGGAAAAGTTTTCGGATCTTTGGAAGCGCAGACCCAAAGCTGCCTTTACTAAGCCTTCTAAAGCACCATCTGGCAGCCAGGGCCCCTGTGTCACCCTACTCACCAAGATTACATTCTCCTCTGGCCCTCTATCCCTGTCCTCTCTCCTCCTCTCCTGTCCACTTTATATTCTTTTCCTCTTTCCTTTGCCAGAAAACACAAATGTAGCCGAATGAGGGTTTTTTGTGTGTGACTGCAAAGCCTGGGCTGTTGTAGCCTAGGTTTTCTAAAATGAATAATGCACTGGCAATCAGTTGAGACTTAACAGGCAGAAATAATTTGCATGTATTATTTTAGTTTCAATATAATTGTGACCCATTTGGGCTGAAAAGAATTTCTCATTAAATTTCTTCCTAATATAAAAAACACTTGCCTGCTTGAATCCAAAGATTGTTGGCAGCCCACTGTGGTACAAATCTATTAATGGTTTCACCTGTTTGAATTTATATGCATTGTTTAATTTGTGGTGTCATATTTGCAGAAAATCACAGCAACGCAGATTCTGATATCACCTCATAATGATGTTGCACATAGAAATGAGTACATGGCATCATCAGATTGTGAAGAACTAAAGCTGTTAACATCCAGCATAAATGTATGTACTTATGTGATGTGCAAAAATCTTTATTTTTTTATATTAGGAGAAGACTTTCTCATTAATATTTTAAAAAATGATCTTGAGCAGTAGTTCGCCAGGCTTTCTGGAGATCTTTCTCCAGCTGCTTTTGTTTGCTCATTTTCAGTCCAGTCCTTGTATGTAATTAAAAATTATTATAATTCAGGCACTGTTGCAAAAACAAGCACATCATTTGTTCCCAAATCTTAAGCTGACTCTATGAAAAATGCCAAAGATAACACAGTTTGGCAGGCTTAAAATACAGTTTTTCATCAACAAGGTAATTCCCAGAGAGCTATTAGCTGAAAACGTGGACTATGTTGGACAACTGGAAGCTAAAAAAAAAGTGTTAGGTCTAAAAAAATCTACAGCAAATGAACAGTATCTGAAAGTCAAGTCCTTAAGAAACTGGGGGGGGGGGAATCCATGAAAGACCTGACGCAGAACCTGTGAGATGCATCGGACCCTTCAGTTTGCCACATCCTTATCAGAAGTTGTCTCAGTGGAAGGGTGGCTGTTAAGAAGCCATTCTTAAGGAAGAGAAACAGGGAGAAAAGGCCGAGGCATGGCAAATTACACAAGAGCTGGGCTGAAAATCAGTGGCCCAGACCTGAGCATCGTTGAAGCGTTGTGGGATCATTTTCACAGAGAACCAGTCGATATCCAAAATATTGAATGGAATGTCCTTCAAAAAGTCTGGAAAACTATGCCTGAAGAGTACCTGAAACTTGAACACATCACAAGTGACGTGTTGAAGAATAAAGGTGGCCATTCCAACTACTGACTTTCATACTTGTTAGAATTACACAAACTCTATTGTTGCCTTATATACATGTGTGTTTGCACGTTTCAATACATTTCCTGGCATAAGACTTTTTCACAGTACTGTATAGTGTGTTCTTAGACATCTAACTGACCAGCAGTTAGTTATTATTATGTATTATTTAATAAATAACATTTGCTTTAGTCAACTGAATTAAAAAAGAACTGCATCTTTTGTAATTCAGTATCACTTTTATCTGGCATTTGTCATGTGAAGAAGAATCAGTCACCTTTGAAGAGAAGTGTTCAAATTTTCTTCACAATTTCTCAATGCCTCGTCGTGTCCTTAGGTGCCACATTCTCAATGAAGTTGACAGTTGACAATGAAGTTAAGTCCCACTTAAGTTTGAAGTCTCAAGCTAATTCACAACCCTAAGTGCGATTTGAGTACAAGTTGCCAACTCAAGTGCCCAGTGCTGGCTGGGAATGCACTTCATGTGGGGGTTTTTTTCTCTTTTTTCCTTTAAACATTTAAAAATATTACAATTGCTAAAAACATCTACCTTCAGTATTTAGAGCTGTGAAAGCAGGGGAATCTGGCAGGACTCAAAGGACTCTAACTTACTGATGAATCAGATCCTGCTAAAAACTGAAGCGCCACTTTAAAAATCCTGCAGCATTACAGCGGCGCACTACAGTGGAGCCCTCACTTTTCCCTAAGCGTGTAATTTTTAATACTCAGGGGTGGTACAGTCAAAAATAACTTCCATTTTCCACATGCATTAGTTTAGACTAAACAGCACCTTCAGGTGATGGCACAAATGCATTTCCTGTCATTTTACTGGGCCCTACATTGTCAGATTGAGCACAGCCTGGCTGTCTGATGAGATCATCGAGTGATGTATTATAGTAATACCAAGCAGATGTATATGCTACAATATCATATTGTCTCAGGAGGCAAATTAATTCTCTGGCTTCACACAAAAACAGTTTGAAATGTGGAAGAAGTCTAAATCTCTCGCATCCAGTTAATGCACATTTTCAGCTGCTGCCACGAACTGCATAAGATGTGAAAAAAATCACATCTTTTAATGTGTTAGTATAAAATGCAAAGCCCAATAAAGAGTAACGCCACATAAGGGAATAGAGTCGAGCCTCCTTAATTGTCTCAGTGAAACGGTAAAAGGAACGTATTGCGCGAGAAACGGCGCTTCGTGAAAATCAAGAGCAAATTTTATTATTCAGAAACACATGCTAACTATTACATGCTCTGCATTTGTGCTGTGACAGTTCAGGCATTTTGGGAGATCAATAACCAGCAATGTGTCACAGAGGATGAAAAACCTGTCACGTCTTCAAAGAGCGATTCGACAGCACTCACACACTTATTATGGCGATATTTTTGTCAGATATGTATATATATCTGACAAAAACATGTGCATGCCCACATCCAAACAGTGGTTGCTAAAACAAATAAATCTTGAAAAATGCCGTTAGACCTGGACAGATGGCACTGTGGCAATATTTTAAGGAAATGATTACAGGAGCTGTTTTTGTCTCGCCATTATCGTTGTTACATTTCTGCCGCGACGTACATATATCTTCTAAATATGAAACTTTCAAACGTACGAGTAATAATGTGATGTTTCAGTGGATATGACATAGCTTACTGGCTCACATATCTGCACAGAAGGCAGCAGTAATTTTGAGGAGATCAAAGCACCAACGTGATATCGGTGCCTGTGCACACATTTTTCTTATTCTGAAAATATTAACAATAAACCACTGCTCTATGTAACGCTGTGAGATGTTTTTCAGGTGGAACGGTAACAGAGCTACATATTTCCGGAAACATGCCGGTGATAGAAAGCACAATAGAAAGATTAATATTTTACTTTTCTCAGTGTTCATCTGCCAAGAGTCAATAAAATGTGTTTTGCGGTATTATCTGTGTAATACTTACACTTGAATAGGGAGGGCTGAGGTAATCTCCCAGTTGGACTACACTTCCAGATACTAAATTATTGCTGACATTTTGGCAGCAAATACAATTGAGGTCCGAGAATTCTGGCGGGCAAACTCTTTACCCTCTGGTTTGAGGCTAATGTTACATTCATTGTCAATACAGCTGGACAGAGTCGGTCTTTTGGGACGGAGGATTTGCCTCGTTCGTGGAACCATGCTGCAACCGTATGGCACGAGCTGTCCCCCCTAAACAGTGCTAGCTGTCGTCCCAGCTGATGCACATTCATGAATTCACGCAGCCTGTTACACACGCATGGGCGCATGCACGTATGGAAATGCATGCAAAGCAGCTTTATCTGAAGCCATACCCATACGTTAAGCTGACATGTGCGCGCGCATTGCATTTAATAAAACTGTAATTAGCCTGCTCAGTTATAGAAGACAGGCAGGAATGCGGAAGAAAGCAGCATGGAGGAAGAGATGGGGAGAGGGAGAGTTATAGTGAAAGAGAATGATAAATGATGGATTGAGAGCGCTCTCCCTAGACCCCGGGGTTAGCAGTGTGAGGGAGTTACAGCTGGCTAGCTCATTCCGTCCAGCCGCAGATCTCATAATAAACATCACATGGGTAGTTTGGGCTGGCGGGTGCAGATTAAGCCGGAGCTGTTAGCTCTTTAAAGACTGCTCAATGTTGCAGCCAGCCAAGAACCTATTTATAGGGCAGCTGGAAGTGTATCAAAGCAGGTAGGCAGGAAGGTGCAGGACAGAGATGGTTTTCAAGCTGATTTATGGCTCTCAATCAGTGTAATAACAATAAACTGTCAACTAACACGCCACGTTTATTTGTAATTTATGGTACTGTGCTCCTAATAAACCTCTGTTTATTTCTCCCCTGTCCATCCCTCCCCCTCGTCCCGGGCCTTCTGTTGTGTCTATCCTACGCAGAGCTTCCCAGCAGTCCAGGCGGCCAGTTCACGTTCCGTCCGCTGCCCCCACCTCCGCCGCCGCCCCACTCCTGCACTTGCGCCCGCCCGGCACCTTACACTCAAGTCAGCCTACAGAGGAAGACCATGCCAACTCGGTGCCAAGCCAGCCAGGGCGGCCAGGGGGCAGACACCAGCTCGAGCGCAGACCAGGCCCAGCTTCACAACAGCTGGGTGCTCAACAGCAACATCCCCCTAGAGACCAGGTAAGGGAATGCTTTTTTTTCTGGAGTTATTTTTAGCGCGGGCAAACACAGGGCTGCGCTCCAAAAAGCTTTCAGTCCAGACTGGATGTCATTTTGTAATGAAATTCTTCAAGTGAAAATATCTTCAAGGCAAACCGCCCTCCCTCAGCATAATGTCACTTGATTAAAGACATTTCTTTAATCTCACAAATGAGGTTCATTAGATTAAAGAAAATTCTTTCATCAGGACTGTGACTTGGCAGACTTTCACAAACTTCTTCGAAAAAAATCAGAGTATAATGATTAAGAATGAATGCTGGACTAAAGGATTTGTTAGGATGGGCATGTTTTGCACATGTTTGGAGGAATAAGTGGAACACCACGCAGGCCTCTGGGGTATTATTAAAGGACTTCCATCAAAGTAATCATGAAGCTTATTTGGAATTGTTTTTGTTCTCCTACCACACACACCACCGCATTTACTAGGGGACCTGCGTTTGTGTAAAAACAATCCAAAATGAAAGCAGAAATCCTCTTTTCAGGAACACATTGTAATTTCACTTTCAGCTTTAGTACCCCGAGAAATTGTTTTTCTGCCAAAATGCTCGGAGACAAGCCACTGGAAGTCGGTCCCATCAAACAGAATTAAGCATACGCTTACCGCATAGGTATTAATTGATCAGAGAATTATTTAGGAGATCCTCATTTGTGCGGCTGCTTTTGAGAAGAAGGAGAAGCAAGTTGGAAAAGAATATGTTTGCATGTGTAATGAGCGGCTGGGCGCGGGATTCTGGTATATTATGCGCGAGGATGAGATTGGCAGGCTGCCACACCAGAAGAAGGGATTTTAATAAGTTATGCATTAGGCCATAATTAGATCTTACCTCATTTAAAGGGAAGGAAGAATAAAATTAGATTCAGTGACAATTTAAATTAATCATTGGCTAGACATGAGTATCAATGTAAAGGCTTGTCAGGAGTGCATTGTAATTACATTACTTATCGGTGAGCGTGTGAGCGCGCGTTAAATGAAAACTCACCACAAACAAAAAAATTCGGATCGTTCAAACAATATTTGATGAGCTCAAAGAACTTTTCTCCCAAAGTGAGATGTGATTATAAAAACACAATTTCCGCAGTGACTCACTATATTGGATGGTGACTTTTTTTTCTTTCTTTTTTTTGTAAGAATACATTTTGCGCGTTTGGGACTTTCTAGTCAAATATGTTTTATTTGATAGTGCGCTATTAGTTCTGAACCATAAAATGTAATCATATTCATAGTCAATAGAATAGCGTCCCTGCGTAACATAATTCAGATAATATTGGCTCTTTTCTATCTAGTTTTTGAAGAGAGAGCCCACAAAAAAAGATCCAACTCTTCACTGCTTAACTGTTTTGAGTTTGGGTTTAATATTCAAGCGCCCTCTCTCCTCTCTCACATTCTCAGATACACTGCTAATCTAATGATTTCATATTTCTGCTTTTACCCTGGCAGCGTTATCGGCTCGATCTCCAGATTAAAGATTAATCAAGTATTTACAAACTTGACACGGGGGCTTATGCTGACAGAATTCTAAGTGATGCTGTGACCTTAATAAAAATGGCAAAACATGGATAACATCTCTTGTTGTCAAGTGTGCTTCCATTTTTCCTCGACTTGCGCACTTGATGAATCAGTATTCAAATGTATTGACATTGCGTCAGCTGAGATTAAGATTGTTTGAAGTGTGCATAGATTTTCCTTTTCAGCTGCACATCCGTTATGTTTCTGGAGAGGCCAGCTTGTGTAAGTGGAGGCTTGCGGATATGGATATTCAATCTATCTGACTGGCTCTCACTGTGGGTGTGTTAAGGGGTACAAATGTTGGGACTGTAATAAATTGACTTGTGCCCTGCCTTCTCTCCTTCCTCTTATTGATAGGACGTGAGTGTACGTAAGTCACACACTGTGGGTGTGCACCAACACTGTGAAATCAGCTTCTGCATCGCACACCGCACATTGCCATGCACCTGTGAAAAAAGTCCTCCACCTACACAGGCAGACACACAGACAAAGACACACACTTATCCAGGTAGAGACAGCCCCTGGGCCTAGACTCCGACCTCCTGGAGAGCGGGAACTCTCATTTTCTTCCTGTCTCGGGGGAAATCTGCCCTCTGATATGAATTCAGAGCTTCCTGGGCGTCGCCCCTAGATATTGTCTGAGAAGATCAAAGGCGGAGGAGCCAGGAAGAACAGTGAAGCATTTTAAAAGCACCGAACAAGAAGAATAGAGTTCCACTTGCGTTGACAAATGCAATTTCTTCAGCTGGATTCTGATCCCTTTCGCTCTAATCCACCTTCGGCAGAGCAATAAAAGTGCCGCGGTCTTCTCGACCCGTGCGTTGGCCTTGAAAGTGTGAAAATGCTGTATTTGACATCTTTTTTGTGCGTGTTTGTCTTGCGCGCCATTCTTCGAGTCGAGCTATGTGTCTCTCTCTATTTGTGTGGCTGTGTGTTTCTCGGGTTTATCTCTGGCCTTTCAGAGTTGAACTGCCATTGACCCGTAGGTGTGTAGCTGCTCTGTGCGCAGTCTCCTGTGTCCTCAATCTAGCTCACAGTCTTCAGCAGATGCTGGATGAGAAAGGAAAGGAGGCAGACAGTGAAGGATGGATGTCATCTGTCAGGCACTGGGCCACAATGGAGACACACAGAGAGAGAAACACAAAACAGGCATGGATTTAAGATGACTGAGGCAATGCTTCCTCACATGCAGCACAAAAACCATAACACAAGTTTACTGACAATATAAATATAAAAACAATATATAAATAAAATGTGTTGACATGTGTTTGTGTGACACGTGTTTCGTATTTAATAGTTATCCCACTGTTTTTCCCATGTTGGTGAGGATTAACTTTGCAACTGACCAATCACTTGTTGTGATGTCATAGCTTTGCAGTGTGGAGAAAAAAACATCTTCTGGAATATGGTAGGCATTTCAAGTATTTTCTTTATGTAGTTATACAATGTAATAAATATGTTATCAAGTTGGGTTTACAAATTTGGCTTTCTCTTAATAGTTGAGCCATATTCCTGGCTAATTCTATTACTTAGCTAATTAGCTACAAATTTAGCATTAGTCATATTCTTTGCTAATGCTAACGGCTCAGTTAGCATTAGCAAAGATTATGGCTAAACTATTAAGATACAGCACACATTTTCCATAAAATTGGATGTTTGGACTGAACATTATTAGTTATTTACAGACTATTTTGGTATGTATATGTAATATACATACACAAATATATGTATATGTAATAAGCAAATTTCCCACATGTGGGACTAATAAAGGTTATCTGTTATCTTATCTTATATGATAGATACCTGAGGGTTGTAAATATACTCATCTAAAGCAGTAGAATATCATATTAGTTATTTGCATATAATAAAATGTACATCAGAAGCAATGATCCAAGGAGTAATACATGGAATTAGGCAATAAATCAATAACAGGAGAATACAAACATTAATTGAACTTGGAAAAAAAAAGCAATCTAAGGCCAGTCCTAGAGAAAAATCCATTAAAAATCTTGCACTGAGGCTCCACTTGTCCTTTTTCTTGACTGCTTTGATGCTGCAACAGCTGTGGCCACAGACTTGACGTTTGGCCGGTCGTATGTCCTCCCATCTGCCGCTTTGTTACACAATATCTATTGGAGGTACTCACAAGAATGTTTTTGAGTCTGGTACAAATGCTCACCAAGTTCTCAAGGCTGAACTGACTGTGTTTCGAGAGATCGAAAGTCAAGGTCACCATCAACTCACATCCAACGTGTCCTCTTGAATGCGAACACCTGGAAGACATATGTTGTTCTCCTGTTTTACTTTTCAATAAAGCTTATAGTTCTCAGTTGAAATTCAAAGTCCTTCATGGAGAAGTCCACTGTCGCCCCAGTTTTCTTGTTTTTAAGTAAAATGCGCCTGCAGGGCAGGATAACAGTTAAATGGATAAAGGAGATGGATGTAGTTTAGCCATGTGTGAGGACAGCGTTAGAGTCTGGAGTCCAGCGATGTTGTCAGTCTGTTGTCTGGCACCACTTTAATGGCCTGTCTTGTGAGGTCCCTTTAGAGACTGGTGTCCTGCCGGCAGCCTGTGACCTCGCACCTTTTACTGCATGGACAGAATAACACTCTGGCGAACTGCACATATCCCCCAACATATCGCACCAACAGCCAATATTAACCCCTCGAGAGCACACAGTAATCTGGAGCAATAATGCTGTCTGCGAATTGCAGGAGCTCAGAGAAATTTTCTTGTTGTTTTCTTTGTTTGCTTGGAAAAACACACACACACACACACACACACAGTGCAGAGAATAAGACAATGACTCATAGCTGTTTTCTCTTTCTGATGCTGTCTCATAGCCATCCTTTGTTTCCCACCACCAGCAGTCTTTATTCATTTTTTTGATGGGATCCGGTACGGCCAGATCAAGCTGGAATTGCTTATAATTGCTTTACCCAGATCTACTTTTCCACGTTGCATAATTTCCATTCCCTGCTTCTCATCTGACACCATCCAACCTTCGCCCCCCATTATCCAAACACAATATAGATGAAATGCTACTTAGATTAATTGCCCCGCAGCTTAGTTTCCTATCATCAGTGGCAATCTAACACACTCTTTTTCATAATGAGAATAAACCTCATCGTCGTTTAACGAATACAGCCGTATAACTTAAGTAGTCGCTTTGATGAGTCAAAAAAGGAATAGGTAAGTCATTGATCCTTGGCTGCCAGGGCTGTTTCATTCTCTTTCATATCACTGCTGCTCTGCATTACAGTAGTGGCTCATAACGTTGCACCAGAGAGAGATACTTGGTCATATATGCCCTTTTTCAGCCTGTCAGCCTATACTTTATCTATAATGTGCTACAAGTGTATTACATAGCTGTTTCTTGCATGCAGTACATCCCAATACTGTCCGTTGTCTGATTGTTATAATGCAGTAACTGTGAATAATGTATGTGGTATACATTTGCCACAAAAATTGCCTGCTTTCCAGAACACATTATAAATTACAAGTAGAATCCTAGCGCTTAGGGACTTCCTCAGACTACTCTTCTTCCTTGGATTTGGTTCCTGTATTAATTTTTGATGATGCTTTTCTTGGAAGTTTAACAGATTGCTTAGATTACAGGCACACAAATGGAGACAAACACGTAAGATATTAACAGTTTAGCTGAATTTCTTTTGCACAGCACTAAGTGCTTATTCTGGACAGGTTCAAAAAAGGACTGAGTGTTCATGCATGGGCAAAGTGGAACAGTCTGTCCTCTCTGTGATATGTGAAACCCGAGTCTGTATTCATCATTCAAAAAATAGTGGGAGATGGGGTCTCTTCTAAAGTCCCCCACCTTGGGGGCTCTTTAAATGAGCTTCAGTCAGGCGTGCATCAGCGTGAGACTGAAATCCACCGAGTACAGATTTGCATGAATAGAATCAGAATATGATACTAGATACCTGAGAAAAATGATGTCTGCACTGTGCTAATTGGTGAAGCGTTGAAGCACTGTCCTAGATAGGCCTGCATGGTTACTGTGATTGTTTCCAGCTGTGTACTGTAATCTGCTTTAGAAAAGCACCAACAGCGGTCCCAGAGGTAGGAGTTACTTTGCAGAGCGCCGAATGCAGAACAGCTCCTCGCTTGTAAGATTAGGGCAGCAATTAATACAGCGCTTGCTTAACCTGTCGCCTTGAAGAGCAACGGTCCAGTCATAGCTTAACCGTAGCTCTGCTTAGCAGAACTTTCAAGCTTTTTCCACTTGAATAGGTGATGCGTGAGGTACTGTAATTGGGGTGAAAAATACAGTATTTAAAAGCTACATGTTATAATAGTTTCATTCAGAATGTGTCTTAAAGTTTCAACTGAGAAAAGTCCAGATTTTCTTTTCTTTTACTATCAGTATGCTGTAGATCTCTGGTTTTAGCCCCATTAAAAAACAGGCTGTTTGAGTTTCTGTAGCTTTAAATGCACTACACTCTTCATTCAATGGCAGAGAGGAGCAGCATATAGGTGGCCACATGACAGATCAGCAAGTCTTGTTCCAAATTATACAAGATCAGGATTTTAACAGGGGACTGGCAACGGTTTGGAAGTGACTGCTGGGTAACATCTAGGCTTCTTCCCTCATCTGATAACTGAAAAAAGCCTTACTGGAAAGTTAGCTTTATTAATAGATTATATTTGAAAGATAATTGTACAGTTTTCAGATTCGTATTACATGGTAATGTCAGCCATATTAGACACAACATGTAAATGGTAAATGGCCTGTATTTGTTTAGCGCTTTACTTAATCCCTAAGGACCCCAAAGCGCTTTACACTACATTCAGTCATTCACACATTCACACACAGGTGATGGCAAGCTACATTGTAGCCACAGCTGCCCTGGGGTGCACTGACAGAGGCGAGCACTAAACATGTATGTTTGTTTCATGTTGTTGGATGTTGTCATTGTAAATAAAAAGAAATGATGATCCTTTAGTTCTGTATGTATGAATCCATCCAGGCTTCTTAATCTGGCTCAGCTATTTGCAATAAAATAAATGGTCATTTGGTTTCACTAGTTTTGGCATTTTGTGTCATTTTCAGTAATTATCAAATTGTTGTACTTCATCAAATGCAAAAAAACAAAATCCTCTAATAAAAAAGAACCCAAAAACCAAACTTGTCAAAAAAACTTTTTTTTAACAAGTAAAAATTCTGGTTTTGAACCAACTACCAGAGCCAATGTTAGCTTAATTAGCTGGCTACAGTTGATTAAAATGAGTAATAGCTATCAGGTCAACTGCCATAATTAGCAGTTCCTGGCGAAAAATGAAAAGCATGATTTGTTTGCTTCTGGCTGGGGCCTAAAAGCCATTTTTTCCATGAACAAAAAAAAAATAGAATTTAGAGTAGTAATGTCCCGCTGTTATAACTGAAAATTGCACATGAGACCGCGAGAAAGCATAGCAACAGTAACTGAGGAAGGTAACGGTAAACTGCATTTTGCAATAACACCTTTTATGTATGTTTCTCCTGCAGACACTTCCTGTTCAAGCAGGGGTCTGGTTCGTCAGCTCTGCTGTCAGGGGCGGGGCAGGGATACCCGCTGACCTCTGGGACCGTGTACTCCCCTCCACCTCGGCCTCTGCCGCGCAGCAGCGTGACCAGACCACTGTTTACCTTCAACAAGCCTCACCGCTGCTGCAACTGGAAGTGCACAGCCTTGTCTGCGTCACTCCTCACTCTCACCCTGGCCCTGCTGCTCACTTACGTCATCGGTGAGTTGCCGTCACGCACCCAGCCCGTGTCATGAATGAGAAGCACAAAGAGTTCTGAGTTTAGTGGAAAATTTACATTTTCAAAAGGGATTGTTAGAGGAGTTGGAAAATTGTGGGACTTGCCAAGAGAGTGCCTAATTAAATCATAAAAGGAAGCAATAAAAATACAGAAACAAACTGTAGCCTTCTAACAGGGAACCTTACGCATGCACAATGTTTCTGTATTCAAAGGGTAATATGAATATAGGAACTTAAATAAAAGGAAAGAAAAAAAGAAAGGGCGATCGATATGGGATCAAAGCAGGCCTGCTGAAATTTTTGCTCTTACTTTGAAGCAGTATTGCATTGTCTTCACTCCGAAGGATATTCTAAATTGTAAATTAGCTGTTCTGGACCAAAGCTCACAAAACTAATATTTGAGGAATCCACACATGCAGTGACTTATTTGATGTTTTTCACACAGTCTCTCTCACACACTCACACATACACACAGCTACACAAAGTTGCACAACCTTATTAAACTTCTCCCTTGGTGATTTTATTATATTAATCAATCCAGGTTTGTCTAAGCTTAGCACCTAATTGCCTGCACCTTTTCTTCTTCTTTTTTTTTTTTACTGTTTACATATTTGTCGATTGTTTTTCCCCTTTAATGATTAATTAATTTGATTTTTCATTCGCTAAAAGCAAAGACTTCCTATTTAACCCCCACATTTTATTTCGGATTAATCACAACTTTGTAAATGTCATTACTGCACTTTGTTTTGGTTATTTTTCATCCCTTTTGTTTTGTATCGTTTTCACTAATAAACCAAGATAACCTAAAATTAATAAGCTCAACACTGGCTGCTGAACTATTGCCTGCATTTTAGTACGCTGCACAAAGTACTAGTTCACAGATTTAACATATAAGCTGTGCCTATATGTCCCCTCAAGACCATTAAGGTCTGCTCCTCAATCACTCCTGATCATCCTGCGGTTGAAGCTTATTTCAAAAGGAGCTTGTGTCTTTGATGCTGTTGCATCAAAACTCCCCAATGACCTCAGACATGAACATGAACTGTGACTGTTTTTAAGTCTAAGCTAAAGGCTTAGATAAGCTTTTCTGTCAAGCTTATGGAAACTGTTGATTGGTTGCTGTTGGACTGTTTCATGTAAATATTGTGAATGTGTCTAGCATACATTTTTTGGGAATCTGTTTATTTGGTTTTAGTTTTAGTGTAAAAGTGCAACTTTTTGGTTTTAAATGTGCTACAAAAATAACATTTACTTACTTACACATGAAGTATTAAATACGGTGTGCTATTATAGATTAAACTAGACAACAGCAAGAGTTAAGCTATAAGTAGCAATAAGCAACAACCTATTTGAAATAACTATTAATATAAAAGTTCTTACATTTTGTCTTCTTGCATTAAATTTTATATTTTAGTCTCATCTTAAATTAGTTAAATTACATAAATTGTATTATTGTTTAGCGCCCAAAAACATGGCTGATTGCGTTTCATCAAGTCTTCTGTTAGTTACAAAGGAAATAATGTGACTCTACTCTGCACTACCATGTGAAAATTAATGTTTGCCAAATAAAAGTTCAACAGTAATTGCATCTGTGTGACGCTAAATGGAAATACAGGATCAGACTCAGTTCTGGAGAGGAATAAAAGTTGGAGAAATTAATAAATCAATAATCAACTTAGACGGGAAGGTGTAAAAATAGTGAAGTTAATAATTGAATTGTATTGTCACCGCAGGGCGTTTATTGGTCATACCTTTAATTGTAACGGAGTGCTGTTAAACTGCAGTTTTGTTAATTTTCCTTGTGCAAAGGATTTAAATGTTCTCATGAAAGCAGATCAAGTTCAGTTTTTATGACTGAAGCTATCTTTGCAGTAATTAGAGTCTTAAAAACTGGAAAGTTGTTGAGTAGGTCTGTGGTCTGGAAGATCATTAGCAGAGTTTGTCAAAGTCAAACACCAAATTTAATCATCGATCCCCTCCAATTGCTTCATCTCCCTGCTTAGCCTCAACCTTGGCCGGGCCCTCGACCGCAGCACATCGGCTCCCCTCCGCTGCCCCAAGTGCAGATATCCCAACCCTCCACCCAGCTAGTTCATTTCCCTCCTGTGGTGGTGCTCAAGGTCACGCTGGAGCAGGGCGGGGGGTTTGCATTAATCACACACACACACACACACACACACACACACACACACACACACACACACACACACACACACACACATCACAGACAGACATCACACATACACAAGCGAATCCATGCAGATTAATCCCCAGGCTGAACCATGCTATTCCATTAATGTCCCAGCCCCGGTAATTAGTGCATTAGTGAGGAGTGTGAGTGATGACTCGGAGACGACATCACCTTTTAATTGGTGTCATGCTCCGCTCCTGTTTGGCAGTGATTGATCTCCGTGTTGACGTCACCATGGCAACCGCACCAAGACGTATGGGATGTAAGCACAGATGATATGTTAGCCTGTAAATCAAAGGCATTCAAATTGCAAGATTAAAGTGGTCATGGACTTAATGTCTTTGTCTAGGGGGAGAGGTTGAGACACAGGCCACAGGATGATTAGGTTCTCTCATTACATAATGATTCAGTAATTTTAATGAATTAATTAACAGCCACTGACAGGAAGAGGGGAAGAAAAAAAATGTCCCAGTGCACTTTCTCATCTTCATCGAAATGCTCGCCGTGCTGACTTTTGCCCGTTTATTGATTTCAAATCGCTTCTCCTCTTTATCATAATATAATCCAGAATGAAATGAGTTCACTCTGCTTTGAAAATGAAGTCATGTTTGTCTTTAGTTTAGCTTTACACAATATGATCAGTGCCTGCCGTATCCAGTATCCAGTTGTCAGACTTATGTTATATCTATTTATTAGTTTTACATGTTGAACATGTTTCTCAGCTAAATTATTTTTACCTTTTTCACTCACTAAATGCAGAAATTATCTCTGACAGCCAACAGAAACAATGTGGATAACTGATGAGTCATTTAGGTGAATTGAAGTCAAGCGAGATGTCAAACATACTGACAGTCTTTGCTTTTCTTCCGGTTTTATGTAGGTTGACTTGAAAAACTAACATTTACTTATTTTGCTTTATTTTTCCAATTCATTCATTTACTTGTTTTGGCTCTTCAAACCTTTTGCGGATTAATAAGAAGGTAGATTCATGGATGCCCCACATAGATTTCTTTTCCTTATCCTGCAGTAGGTAAAATGTTGTGTGTATATCTTCTGCAGTTTTATTCCGCAGACACTGCTGATTATTTGCAGGATATGAACATGACATATTCCTTTACAGGCATGCCAAGCTGGAGCCTAACATTTCAGAGCGTTGGAGATGGTTCCTCCCCTCGGTGGAAATCGTTTTAACGCAGCTGTCAGTTTTGGCTCAATCTTCGTCTTTTTTTCATGACTCTCGGCCAAACCTTACACTGCTTTCCACAGTGCTTCGGCGTGTAACTAAGCTTGTAACTGATCCCGCGTGCTCTGTGAGGACGCGGAGTGGACGAGCGGTTTAACGGTCAGCGCCGTCCTGCCAGCGGTTTCTTAACAGCTGGGAAGCCGTTCCTAACATCCTTCGAAAACCATCGTCTTTATTGTCTCTAAAGCTCTGTGTGTAAGTTATGTGACTTTGTTTATTAATTTGAAGCAAAGTAACCCACCAAATAATGAAGCAATAATATTGTATTTCAAATTAAGAATTCCAATTAGCACAACAATAGGACGATGCATGATTGCGGAGATAATGCTGTGCCTAAGTGATTGCGGTGTGTGCCCCCTGTTGTGATTAGCTAAGGCAGCCATCCTCTCTTCCTTTACTGCCCTCTCTCCTCTCCTCCCATACCCCCTGGTGTTGCAGGGGCTGCGAATAGCTTTGTTAATTTGTTTATCCCCCAACGCGCCCCTCCCTCCCCAAGTCATAGCTTGTTATTAAGCACAACACGGCCATCAGATATGAGAGGCAGGCATTATGATAGTGAAAGGGGCATTTAAGGAGAGATAGAGGACAGATTAAGATTGCATCTGTAATCTTGAAGAATATTGCTACTGACAACACTACCCGTAACTCATTTTTCTATTTTGAGCCTCATTTAAGCCTGCGTTAAAAAAGAAGAAGAAGAAGGAAAAAAAACTACCTACCATTGCTTTATCATGCTGTCAGAAAAAGCTAATTAGAGTATTTTCTGCATTAATGAATGTCTTGCTGTTTTAAATGGTTACAATCCTCAGTTGCTCAATCAAATATGAGAGAGGGTGGGATGTTTCACTTGTGAATGATAATCATCTCTATGGCAACAGGGAGAAGCTTCTGATTCAGGTGAAATGAGCAAGTCAGCAGCACCCTGCAATCAAATAATCACCTTCAAATCACATTTGGTCCCACAGACACACACACACACACGCATGCATGCACAAAGACACAGCGTGCACTTTCAGCTATGATCGTCTTTGTGGTTCTGCTGTGCAGTATGTGTCGCTTTGGGGCTTTTGGTTCCATAAAGAGCCAAATGACTTGTTAGTGGCTTTAAGTTTATTACATTCATGTCTTTTTTTCCTTTGCGCAAATCTACTTTCACAGTTTGATGGCAAATCCGAGCATCTGCCCTTAAACGTTGCATATTAATCAGAGAGGTCAAACACAGTGCAGTTTCCAACTGTGCTTAAAAGAAAAAACATGTGTTTATTAGAGCTAATGATTATTTCCATTAAGATAAAGCCACAGATTATTGTCTTAATTTGATTTTCCAGAGCCTAAGGTAATGCCTTCCAGTGAATGGCTTCTTCCAAATCTCCAAATATATTCTGCTCACAGGAATAAAAGGCAAAGTAGCACACCAGTCTCGGAGGCTGGAACAAGCAAATGTTTGGCAGCTGTGCTTGAAAACTTCTCATGATTAATCAGTTCTCCGTTGTCAGCTCCAATGTTTATGTACACGGTGCTGAAATTGTTTTTCACTTCAGTTAAAGT